AAGTAAATCATTTCTGTAATTGTCAATGGTGCAAGATGAGCATAATTTCCCATAAAATTAATTCCCAATAAAATAAGTAAAAACAATACAAATGAAATCCATCAAACTATTTATGGTGTATAACAAAGTAATGCTTTTAGACCTTCGTTAATATACGTAGAATATGTTTCCATTGCATGAACAGAAGCGGGCATTAGATAAAATATTAGTGATAATGGATTCGATAAAGGTCTAAAATAAATAAAGAATTCTTTTCACAATTAAAAAAATAAATTAATTTTGTTAGAATTACTGAGTCCAATAATGCCATGACGTTTCTGTACCATCTTTCCAACTTGTAACTCCACCCGTATACTAAAATAAAAATAAATTAATGAAGGTTGCTTTTTTCTCTAATTTTTATACTTTTCCAACAGCTCCACCAAACATAATGCGAAACAGAGGGGTCCATTGAATAAAAACTAATATTTCTGCTTGTGCAGCCAGAAAGGGTGTTACTGTGTGGCTGTCCGTGTGCGTGCTAATGTCCTGATATCTCACAAGAACACCTACACACACACGCCCCTTGTCGTAACTTGTATATTTATGCTAATCATATTTTATTTTGAAAGCATTTTAGATTACTTTTCTTTTGCTTGGCAATGTTGGAGAAAATTTCTTGATTGCTTGACAAACATGAAAGAAGCATATGAAAAAGAAACATTAAGTGAAAAAAAAACAAAATAAGTGAATTGCTTTAACTCTATTTATTTAGTAGAGAAAAAGAATATTTCTCTGATTTTAGTTTAATATGTATGCACATGTTTGGATTTGACTTACTTCAAATAAGTTATTGTTCAACGGGTGACTCTTTACGTTGTATTGAGAACTAGCCTTCTATATCAATGGTTTCGTTCAATATTTTTTAAAATATGTGATATATATCTGTTTCATGAAGAAAATCCGTAAGAGTCAAATGGTTACTGTATTCGAGTAATGACATACTCAACATTTGATGAAGTCATCAACCAAAATGTAATGGTGACAATGATTTTTTCCAGTTGTAAAAATGAGAGAAAAAGGTGCCTTAAAAAACAACATGTTTTGAATAAAATAATTACTTTATATGAGTCGAATACATCTTCATTCAATTTTGCGGAACTCACATATATTTTAGAAGAAAATAGTGAGTGTAAGTTTTAAGTTCAAGTTTTGGCGGCTCCTCCTCTCCTTCCTCTCCATTAGAAACACTTAGCAACGTAGGTTCCCATTATAGACATCCTCCTTCCATTACAGACCTCAACAATCGCGCGCAACAGTCTTCAGATTTATTTATTAATAAAAAAGGAGTTGAACAGTATAAAGAATATGAGCCCGACTGTTATACAGTATTTCAACGCTTTCATAAATATTTGAAAAACTATACTATGTTTATTAAAGTTCTTAATAGCGAAATTGTCGGCTTTTTTCAGAATTTAAACTTGTATTTTAAGAGTGAAAAATGAAGAATAGTGATAGACTGACCTACCATGGCATCATATGGTCGACATGAAAACAATGATTCGATATTTTTATCAGTTTAAAAAATAAACGATATCACCATTTATGAGTTGATTCAGATATATAGTAGTACCGTAAGATCTGCTGATGCATATATTATAATGCATTATTATAATAGTCTGATTGATGAGATAGTCGATAGTGACCAAAAATAATAATAT